CCGCCTCCCTCCACATACCCACCATTCCTCCATGCCCGCCCGCCCATGCATCCGCCCACCTATGTCATCCACCACCCACCGTGCATTGCGCATACACCCGCCTCCTCCACACTGACCCACCCACCCATCCACCCACCCACCTCATCCGTGCATTCACCCACCTAGCTATCCATTCGTACATGCACTGAGCCCTCACTCTATGCCCTGACTTGCCTCAGTAGGGTCTGGCTCTTGAGAAGATTCTAGTCTTGTGGGGGAGTGGACATCCCCAGGGACAGTCCAGTGCCTGGCTTGCCCAGAGGAGAGGGTCATCAGCTATCCCTGAAGTATCCGGGAAGATGTCTTGGAGCAAGTGGCCTCTACCTGGGGCACTGAAGGATGAATAGGAGTCCACTGGGCAGAGTGGAGGGTTGGGTGAGGAGAGGCATTTTTTACTCCTTAAGATGTCTCTGGCCTGTCATGATGGCAGCCCTTTGGAACAACCTTCTCACCGAGTCCTCACAACAACCCCAAGAGGGAGAGATTGTTATTATTTTCATTTTACAGATAAGGAGACTGAGGCTGAGAGAGAAGAGGTCACTTGTGCAGGTTCACCTGGCTCAGAAAAGCAAAGGGAACAGCATGTGCAAAGGCACGGGGTGGGAGGCAGGCTTGAGTTTCTTTTTTTTTTTTTTTTGAATCAGAGTCTTACTCTGTCACCCAGGCTGGAGTGCAGTGGCATGCTCATGGCCACCCCAGTGTCCACCTGCTGGACTCCAGCAATCCTTCCACCTCAGCCTTCCAAGTAGCTGGCACTACAGGCACACGCTACCACACCTGGCTAATTTTTGACTTATTGTAGAGATGAGTTCTTGCCAAGTTGCCCAGGCTGGTCTCGAACCCATGGGCTCAGGCAATCCACTCACCTCAGCCTCCCAAAGTCCTAGGATTACAAGCTGAGCCACAGAGCCCTGCCCAACCTGGAGTTTCTAATGCACAGTGCAGATCTTGACTCTCCCTGGAGTTAACCTTTCTGTGACTCCCTAGTGCCCTCTGGACAAAATCCAAACTCCGTAGTTTAGTATCCATTCATTTATTCATTTAATACTCATCTTCTGAGCTCCTCTGTGCCCAGCCCTGTGCTGGGGACACAACAGAGACCATGACAACTCCAGTGACGACCCAGAGTGGGCAGGGCTAGGATGTGGAGGCCTGGGAACCTGAGATTGGTGGGTGAGGGTAGGTGTTCGAGAAGAGCTTCCTGGAAGAGGGAGCATCTGACCCAGACTGGAGGATTCAAGGAGCACTGTCTGGAGGAGAGGGGCTCTGGAGGTGAGACCAGGAGAAGGGAAGGAGCGAGGCTGGAGAGGAGTGTCTACCAGAGGGAACAGCACATGCAAGGGTCTGGAGGCTGTGAGATGGCCCCACCCATCACACAGGGCGGGACGGGCAGGCTGGTGGCAGACAGTGAGTTGAGGGCCAGCAGGAAGGCCTGGGCGCTGAGCCTGGAGGCCTGAGCAGGGCTTGGGCCTGGAGGGAGGCTGGAGGACGGCCTGGGGAGGAGGGCCTGGCAGGGCAATGGGGGACCCCACTCTGCCATGGCAGGCGTGAGGCAGGGTTGGCCTGGTGTGAGTGTCAGGGCCCTCTGGGGTCAGCAGCCACGGAGGGGGCCTCTCCCCACTGGCCAGCACCACCAGTGCCCCCTCTCTGTCCCTCCCCTTTTCTGTCTCTCCCACCCCCATCTTCCCTGGTCTCTCTCTCCCTCTGTCTCTGCTTTGTCCGCCTCTGTGTGACTTTTGTCTCTTTTCACTTCTTCCTCTCCGAATCCTTCCCAGTCTCCCTCTCTGTCCCCCTCTGTCCGTCAGTTTCTCTCTGTGTCATTCTCCGTCTCACTCCTCCCTCCTGGTCTCTATTCCGATTCTCTGTCTCTCCCCCATCCCGCTCCGGTCCCCTCACCGGCCTTTCCCCCAGCCGCCCTGTCTGCGTCCCCCTCGCTGGGGGGCCGGGGTGGGGCCAGCCTCCCTCCCCCTCCCGACGTGGCCTCTCCTCCCTCTCCACAGGGCTCAGCCTCCAGACGAGGACTCCAGCCTCACACCTGGCCCTGGGCCCTGCCAGGGCTCCCTCGTCAGGACCCCGCCTCCAAAAACCCCTCCCCTCAACGCCTACCTCCCTGGAGGCCTGAGCGGCTGCGAGGTCTCCAGGCCCTGAGCCCCCTTTCTAAGCCCTCACCTCTGCCCAGGACAGAGCCTCGGTCTCCAGCGGAGGGTGGCTGAGGCCCCGCCTCCAGGACAGAGAAGGGCCTGGGCGCGGGCTGGGGCGGTCGGGGAGGAGGGTCACCCGGATCCGACATTTTGGGGGGGTTCCTTTCACCTCCCACCCACCCCCCTTCTGCCTCCCCCCACCTCCCTTCTCTGATGTCTTCTTCTTTTTTTGATGATAAAGTCTTAAAAACACAAAGCCACCCATCAGAGTTCTTGTATTTCAAAGTTCCCTTAATTTGCAGCTTGTGAATCACTAATAAAATAATGTATCCTTTTTTTTTTCCTTCAGTGTTGCCCAGGCTGGTCTCAAACTCCTGGACTCAAGCATTCCTCCCACCTTGGCCTCCCAAAGTGCTGGGATGACAGGTGTGAGCCACCACGCTCAACCAGTCATTGATCCTTTTTGTTTGACTTGGGCACCATGTGTATCAGTTTGCTGTTGCTGTGGACTAGCCTGTCGCCAAAGTTGTGGCTCAAAATGCCCACTCTCGTGGCTGGGCGCAGTGGCTCACGCCTGTCATCCTAGTATTCTGGGAGGCCGAGGTAGGAGGATTGCTTGAACCCAGGAATTCGAGACCAGCCTGGGCAGCATAGCAAGACCTCATCTCTACAGAAAAATAAAAAACACTAGCTGGGCATGTGGGCGCACACCTGTAGTCCCAACTACTCAAGAGGCTGAGGCAGGAGGATTGCCTGCGTCCAGGAGGTCGAGGATGCATTCAGTCGTGATCATCCCACTGCACTCCAGTCTGGGCAGCAGTGAGACCCCAACCCAAGAGGCAAGACAGCAGCAACCCCCCTCCCCCATCTTGAGGCTCACTCTTCTTTTTTTTTTTGAGATGGAGTCTCACTCTGTCGCCCAGGCTGGAGTGCAGTGGCACTCACGGCCACCGCAGTCTCAACCTGCTGGGTTCAGGCGATCCTTGCACCTCAGCCTTCCAAGTAGCTGGAACTACAGGCGTGTGCCACCACACCCGGCTAATTTTTTGATTTACTGTAGTGATGAGGTCCCATCAAGTTGCCCAGGCTGGTCTCGAACCCCTGGGCTCAGGCAGTCCTCTTGCCTCGGCCTCCCAAAGTGCTGGGAT